TCGGATTTTAAATGACTTTTCAGGTAATTTGGGATAAAGAGGAACGAATTGGAACAAAAAGACTCTTTTGGATAAATGTAGACCGTCAGAACTCTCATGGAGAGACGAAGACCTTCTCACCATCTGATCACCCTCAAAATTGGACAACTTATGAAGAATCAACCAGCTTTCAAATGCACTTGGTTTGGTTCCAATAGTTGGATCTCAAGATATTCCATTTGCCCCGAAGACACTCGAAGACGGCCAACAAGTCACCTGACCGCGGCCACCAGCCTATTTCCCGCGGTCACAAGATTCACGACCGCGACCAAGCCTCTATTTCCCGCGGTCACGTTACTCCCGACCGCGGCCGGCCAACTCCGATTAAAAGCCCGTATTTCTAAAGCCCAAAATCATTTCTCAGCCTCAATTCCGGAACCCTAGAGACCATGGAGTATTGAAGACTATAAATACTTGTCATTTAGGTCATTTTTAGACACCAACCTTCATACTTTTACAGAAACCCTTTTCCTTTAGCCGTTTTATGCGATTTTTAGAGAAGATTGTTCGACTCTGAGTTCTTCAATAGTGAAGCTTTCTTTCATCTCTTTTCTCTACTGTTTTTGATTACTTTTATTAAAACCAATGATGATGTCGACCTCAGCCATGTCTGAGTAGATCTTGAGTTGGGCTTAGGGTTCCCGAAAGGGGCTCTCATAATTGATTAAGACATCTAGGTTTATAGATCTGGGATTTTAACTTTGTTCTCTGTTTATTCTCGTTCTTATTGCATGTATGCTTGATTGATCACCTAGTATCTGATCTAGATAGTTAGTGTTGCGAAAGTTTTCATTAAGTATCAGACCTAGAATGAAACAGGCGATTTTTCCGTAGGAGTGGAAACCTACCTGCGGCGAGATCGTGAGTACTGACGAGTCTTGTGCAGCTCTTGCGTTCTCTCCCTTCCAGGGCCAGAGTGGAAACCTACTGGTCAGGGTTGCGAGAAACAGTTGGTTATGATCACGACAGTGACGCAGTCATAACGCCGTACTCTAGCTCTAGAACCCTATATTTCGATTTCCGTCAATCCCAATCTATAATCCCTAGTATTAAAACTGATTATGATCCCTGTAGAGTTCCCAAAAGCTCAGCGTTTTTAGCCATAGTTTACAAACCAATCGATTTTTACTTGCTTATTTAGATCTACATTTCATTTGCTTTAGTTTGATATTTTGCTTGCTTCATTTGCTTTCCATTCGATTTTTCTACTTGTTCTTTAGGATAGATTTATTTGCTTTCTTTAGTTTTAGTTTAATCTGTGACAAACAACCAACCCCTAAAATCAATCTAGTCTAGACATAAAGTTAGAAACCGTAGAAGAATACCAAGCACACAAATCTCTGTGGATTCGATCCCTAAATATTGCAATTGATTAGCTGTGCACTTGCGGCTTTCATTTTTTTTATTAAGGGTAAAACTTGTTCCTTCACGCAGTTGACACACATCACTGTACAGGATCAGGAGATTATCGGCTAAAACTTTATGCCAAGAGAGTTGATTTTTATCGGCTAAAAAGGTTTACCGTGGCAACAGTTTATCAGCCAAAACCATTGCATCAATACGTGAGCCCAAAACTAAAATCTGTTGTGCTGATACGTCTGAAAGATCACGTGTCCGAGGAACCTTCCCATCCGATTTAGCTTCCGCAATCTTTGGAAACATTGCAGAGCATTGAGTCATGGTTCCAGAAAAATTGGAATTAGTGGATTCGGATCAGTGAGTTGAAAGTTATGGCTAACAGAAGACGTACCATTCTCGCTCACATTCCAAACCGATCCGATGTGCTTCAAAGATTACGCCGGACGATGCCATTCTAGACTGATTCAGAATCCGGGGCCTTCATCAAGATTCAAGTGCTTCGAGTTTTCTTTCCAGAACGCTTGAGATCACCCGATTTGGAGCTCTGAGCTGGGAGATAATGCAATCGGAGAGAACACGGTGTAGAAGTCTTTTCCGGATCATTTCGGTGCACTGCAAAGATCAGCCGTCCGGGAGACCTTCCATTCCCCGGATGCAATTGGGTTTTTCAAAAAAGTTTGAGATGGTTTAGTTTTATTTCCTATGGATCTTGTTTCAAGTCATTTGGGGTTGTGAGCTAAAATTTACTAGGAACAGAAGACAAGCGGGTCAAGACAGGTTTTCAAGAGATGCGCTTGATGCTAAGTATTTGGTTAGGCCTCTGTGTGATACCCTCGACATGTTTTGATACCGAGACCTATTTGTGAAGCTTTTGGTCCAAACCTCGAGCTGACACCCCGGTGTGACTGATGCCGAGGCATGCTTGTTGAGGAAACTAGTCTGAAAACGACTAAGTATTAAGCTGAGCATCTATGGGGATTGATCTGAAATTTTTAAAGTATGGGATCAGACCTCGGCATGAACCCCTCGCCTTCACACCCTCGGGTTCCTCCTTAACATGACCCCCTCGACATAAGCCCCTCGGTATGAACACACTGAGGTCATTGCCAAGTGAATGAAATGCCCAAACCTCGGTTCAGCCCCACGGCTTGTTTTATGCCGAGGTTATATATCCAAATGAAATGCTCCAGACCTCGACCTGATCCCCTGGTATGACTGATTCCGAGGTCCTCTGTCATGAACCCAGATCAAGAACAAGTCTTCTCCAACGGTCATATTCAAAGATGGATCAAAGACAAGGTTTCATGCATGTTCTTGGGTGTTCTTCATTTTTAACCCATATTACATGAGCCCCTCGACATAAATCCCTCGGTCTAGGATCTTTCACATACTGAGGTGCTCACCCAACAGCCCAAGAAGACCGGGTCAGTATCCGGTTTGTTCTGGGTATACCCGATTCGCTTACCTTAACTAGAAATAGTTTTAGGGACTAAAAACCCTACTTATCCTTTATCTATTTTGAGAACTTGCCTCTTTTGTGTAAAACTTGGTTCCTTTATAAGAGATATCTCGTTTTCCATCTTAAAAGTCTTGTTCTTATCATTTCTTTCCATCAAATCAAGCTTCTAATCATGATTAACATCACCTCTTGCAAAGGAAATGGTGTGTTCATCATGATTAGTGAGTAGTCTTCTCATAAAGTCTTAGATAGGTAGATTAGGGTGCAAAGATGTTAGATTAGGGTGTTTAGGAGTTAGATCATGCATCTTCCATTCTCTAATTAGCTGTTCTTAAGGTTAGATCCCTGATAATCACTTGGGTCTAGATCATAAGCATTTTATGTACCAAAAGTGTTTGAAGAAATGCTTGAACCACGCTAATTAAAGGTTTATGTTTTGTTCATCATGAGAATGATTGTTTAAAGTATAAATGACATTTTAGAACTGATTCTTAATGCTCATTGAGTCATATTTCACAAATGAGAACTTGGTTTGAAAGTGGATTAGTGTAGAGGTTAATACCTTCATGAAAAGATTAATTTAATGTTGACTTCTAAGTTGAATGGTTTTGTGTGATTGTTGTTCATTAGCTCCCTGATTTGGTATTGATGGACCCTAATCCAATATCCTGTCTAAGGTCTTTGCCTCATCATATTACATTCATCATCAGCTTGTCTTTGTTTGCTTTGTTTATCTATTTAGACTTGTCTTAATCTAGTTTAGTTTTCTTGTTTACTTGTTTGAAACCAAAAACTGTCTACTTTGCTTGAATTAAGTGGAAACTTGCTAAAACTAGTGCCTAATCTCACCCATTATGGATTGATACCTTCTATGCTGCAATTATAGAGGGATTAATAACCCATTAAGAGTCTTAAAAACTCTTACTTATCACTCATCAGGGATATGGAAAAAGTATGAAATATTTTGTTACTTTCATGTAAAGAGTATGCATTTTCTTCCTCCTAACATATAACTACAGCACAAATTAGTTCCACCAACGAATTGGAACATTGGCAAAATTATCCTGGGATTCAACACTGTTAAATATCAACTTCAACAATGTAAATAAATATAGAATGGAATCAATAAATCATGTTTTATTAGCAAATTTGGCGAGTACAAGATTTAGATCGTCGAAAAAAGAGTACAAAACTAGAAAAGGTCTGAACTCGTTTCCCTTGGTTTTCTGGTCAAAATTGTGGATCCTCTTGAATGAAGAGAAATCACTTATTTATACTACTAATGTCTGCCTAGATTTTTGGGAACTTACTAATTTTTTCGACTCAAGATTGGAAAACTTTCTCTTTTCTTCAGAACCGATTTAATTTGTTGAGCTTTTCTTTGTTTTTTGGGATTTTCCACCAACTTAGTTGAACTGGGCTTAACGGGCTGAAATAGATTAAGGTTTTGTTAAAAATATACTAAATCGAGGTGGGTTCACAAAATTGAACCGGAAAAACCAAAAACACCAAATTAAGTCGGTCCGAACTCGGTTTGAGACGAATCTTTTTTATGGAGTGCATAGCTCACTTCCAACAAACACGACTTGATCTAATTCAAAAATGGTAGAAAATTATAATTGGCGGATTTTTAAATTGGGACATTTTCTGAATTTAGGGTTTCTATAACTTTGTCCTTCAGGTAGGATGATGATTTTTCCTTCATCTCTTAAACGTTTTTGACTATTTGGTTATATTGCTATGGACACCAGCTCCAACACTATCATTAAAAAATGGAGTATATGTGCATCGCCGACCAAAAAAAAAAAAAACATGTGTACACCACATAGGTTCGTGTCAAGCATTACAGTCATAATGATTGCAATTTTGGAAGGACAATGATTGCAATTTTGGAAGGACTATATCCATTTCCAACAACTAGACGTGTACATTATGATGTAAACTTTCATAAGAATGAATTAAAAAAAAAAATAGAAGTGATCTATAAGTTATAACGCGTTTTTCTTAAGACCAAAGGTTTTCTTTAATATAAATTCTTTAGACCAAAGTTGTTACAATAACATTTCTTCTTGCTTTGAATGAATCAAATAAAAGAAAAGAAAAAAAAAAAGACAAAGAAAATCAACATAAGCCCCATGAAAAATATACGCTTCTAAACAAAACCTATAAAGGGTTAAAAAAAAAGCAGAATCTACTCTAGAATTTTGTTGGTTTTTTTACGACCGAAAAATATAATTACATTTGTTTTTTGTTTTTAATTTCGAAATGGACAGAAGAGAAACTCAGTACCGTTCCCCTCCGGCCTCGTTACGCATCGGTGAATTTAATCCGTTTTTCAAAGTTAACCGGTGGTTTCGTGCCGTATGGGCCTGCGACCGGAACTTATGATGTTGATCACTCTTATGACCGTTACGAGGGTTGTCGCAATTTTGAACACTTCTCTCTTTAACATCAAGGGTTGCCTTGGTAGGCGAGGGAGCGACCGTGTAAGTGAATGTCCCAATGGGAATATCATCGCTGTAATCTTTAATCTCTTGTAGAACTGAGACAACGTTGCTGATGCATGGCCTGTTCTTTGGTCTGTAGCTTAAACATTGGTAAGCCAAGGCCGCTGCTTTTCGTGCTCCCGTCTCTGAGTACTGATCTTCTAGCCTTGGGTCCATTATTCTCCCGAGTTTTCGTGGGTCGTTAAGCATTGGACGAGCCCAATCTACTAGGTTTTGTTCCCTTGATGATCTCTTTTTGTCTACCGATCTCCGACCCGTCAAGAGTTCTAGCAACACAACCCCAAAGCTGTACACGTCACTCTTAGCCGTTAGATGACCTGTCATTATGTACTCTGGTGCCGCGTACCCTTGTGTTCCCATCACTCGTGTCGATACATGCGTTTCATCACCTTCTGGTCCGTCTTTGGCTAGCCCGAAGTCTGAGAGCTTTGCGGTATAATTCTGGAACAAATTATTCAAATCAAAATAATCAGGTTTTGAAACAGCGGATGATAGTGACTAATCCACTTGAGGTCAAACACTTTGCGTTCACCATTCAATTTTTTTGATCAACTATCTACAAAAATCTTTGTGTTCCTTTTGGCCACTATAGACGTCTTAAATATCATTTTTCCACATTCTTCGAGTTTAGTATGGATTTTGGTCTAAGTTTTGGTCCAGGTCTGAGTTCCGGTCGAGAATCTACCTTGTGTTGATCGAAAAATACAGATATGCCCCAATGGAAACATATTTGATGAAGAATAAAACGGTCTAGTTTGCTATCAGCACTCAAACCCTTTAACATCAATAAAGAAAAGAATCATGAGATAACTTAGTTGCTTACAGAATCTAACAAGATATTGGAGGCCTTGAAATCGCGATAGATGACGGGTTTCTCTGCTTCATGGAGAAACTGCAAACCCTTTGCAGCTCCGTGAGCGATCTTCATCCTCGTTAACCATGGCAGCGATATGGAACACCCTGAAAATTAACCATTTTCATCATTTCCGGTTATAATAATGAATCCAACCATTTGATGGCTAATAATAAGTCAAACTCACTTCTGAATAGTTGAGACTCTAAACTACCACGAGGCATGAACTCATAGACAAGAAGTCTATGTTCTTCCTCGCAGCAATACCCGATCAGCTTCACGAGATTCGGATGCTTTAACTTCCCTAGAAATATAACCTCCGTCTGAAAAAATTGACCCCCCAAAACAATTAGACACGTTTAGACTTAATATTTTGACAAGGAACACATGATTAGGGAAATGAATGTACGAACCAGCCACTCACGGTGACCTTGAAAACCATCAAGATCAAGAAGTTTCACGGCGACTGGCTGAGCCTTAAGACCAAGACGAAGTTTGTCGTCGATGAACCCTTTGTGAACCGGACCGAACCCTCCTTCGCCAAGGAAGTTGCTGGAAGAGAAGCTTTGTGTTATGACTTTGAGCTCACCTTGTGTGAACACGTGGAGATCGGAGCCGGCGAGAGAGATTGAGAGATCTTCAGACAAGGTCGTTGAACTTGGATCACTTATGTCTAGAACTGACAATCCAAGGAATGATTTCTGTTTCGTTATTACACCACCATCATTTTTCTTTGCTTTTTTTGATGAACATATGTTGTCTGGATCCTGGAAACACGCAACCATTATTGATTTCCAAGATAATTTCTTCTTCACCGCCATTGTTTTTGTTTTTGTTTTTTTTTTTCTAATGGTTTTGGTTTGTAATGAGAGAAAAGAACTTTTAAAGTAGATGAGGAAGAGACCAAGACTTTATATTATTTCCAAATTTATATAAAATCTAACTACTCGGTTTCTTTTGTCAAGAACAAAACAAGTGTTTAATATGGAAATAATAGTTTTATAAGAGCAACAAGGCGACGACTTGGTGCGGTGGGTTTATACTTCTTTTTAAAGCTTTAACAGCGCCTGACACTGTCATTTAATTCATATGTAGACGAGTTAGTTCATCATAGTCGTGGGTGGGTGGCCGAAAGGGTGGATGAAATTACAGTTTTACCCATTTTCCTTATCGATTTCTAGATACAATTGGATGATACCTTTTTAGCTGTCACACAGAAAGAGAGATAATACCTTTTCATGCAATGATAGTTTTAGTTGAAATTTTATGGTCAATCCAATACTTTATTAATAATGTATCTACGGGGTTATGTAATTTAAAAGTGATATTGAGAATTGTATCCTCACAACTTTTATCGGGGTTAATTGGATAAAAGCTTATTTGTTAAAACATGAATCGTTCTGGTGTGAGAAAACACGTTTATGGGATTTTGGATGTGGAAACACGAGTATGTTGGAAAACGTGAACCCAACTTGGTCACATAACCCAATATATTGTTTCAGTTAAGGTATCTCTATACATACTCTTCTCATATATTTGTGGATATAAAGATCAGCTATTCATTCATAATTAAGTGTCATCAAGATTCAGTCTCTTTTCTTCCAACTTCTCAATCACTCAGCCTTTCTTTGGTCTCTGAGACCTATTTGTTAGTGTTATGCTGACTGATTTTAGAAAAAATGTTATAGCCATAGGAACATGAAAAATTACAGATGCATTGAATCATCTAGTTGGAAGAAGAATGAAGATGCAATTGTTATACCAGTTGGAAGTAGTACATAAAGTGGTACAAGGGAGAATCGCGTACCAACTGATGACGTGAAGCTAAAGCGTGTGCTAAACTGGACTTCATAGCTGAGCTGGATGAGCCAAGTTGAAGGACGAGGGGCAGCACCTTAGCTGGACGAGTATCTTGGAGAGGATATTAAAGTTTGGGGGAGTTTCTATATAATTAGGAGAAGAAAAATGAAATATGATTTATCTATGAAGATTTGCCTTTATCTCCAAGGATGAGTTTGACTTTGGTCTTTCACCTAGTGTGTATAAATAAGAGTAATGAAGCATTGTACGTGTTTAACAAGATATGAGAGAGAATTATTAGCAAAAGGTTTTTTGGTTTTTTTGAATAGAATATTAAATTTTATTCAAGAAAAAAATAAACTTTTTTACAATTTTTAACTAAAAATAGGTCTCGAAAGGAGTCAAATATCTGGACTTTTCAAGGTATCCGGATCCAAATCCGTTGGATAATCAATTTTACTATCCGGATCCGGATCCGAAAATATACGGTTTTGAACCGAATATTTATGGATATCCGGTCGGATATCCGATTTCGTTGATTTAAAAAAAATCTTCAATTTTTTAAAATTATAATGAGATAACATAAATAATTAAAATGTATCATCATACCAAAAGTTACAAATAGTAAAAATTAAAAAGCATTCAAATTGCATTCAAATAACACAAAGTTTAAAAATTTACATAGTAAAAAAGAAAATAGTAATAGAGAAGTTAATTTATCTTCATGTCCATGTGCTATTCATTTTCATGTTCTTCTCTCACAATCTGAAATAGAAAATTATCATGCAATATGAATTTCAATCATATGTAAAGGAGTTAAACCAAAAACAATTTTAAAATTAATTTTCAAAAATGAATAAATATTATCAAAAATAAATAAATAATTAACAAACGGATAACGGATAACGGATATCCGGTTTCAAAATTTTTATTATCCGGATCCGTATCCGAATAACCGAATACTTAATTTCACTATCCAGATCCGGATCCAAACTATACGGATATTCGGTTTTTACAGATTGGATAGGACCGGATACCGGATCGGAGACCGGATACCGGATCGGAGACCGGATACCGGATCGGAGACCGGATACCGGATAATAATTCCAAGCCAACAGAAAGGTGCTCTTTGGTGCCAATCAAAGAATTACATTTTGCTGGAAAAAAATTAAGGATCTTCTCGCAAACCAAACCAAGTTTGCAATCCATCGCCATATTTGTTCCTTGTTGTGCTGAGCCTGTTCCGCACAACCCGATCAATGTGTCTGAACATTACATCCCTTGGAGTGTGCCTTTCTCCATGACGTCTGTTGTTGCGTTCACACCATATGGAGTGTATGGCTGCATGAAACACATATCGGAGAATGAAAGAGGTGGTCGACTTGCCGAGTGGTTGAGACATACCTTCAACGAAATCAGCCCACTTCGTCGTAAAGCTAGTACCCATGAGTCTTCCAGCTAGAGCTTTCCAAAGAGTCCCAGAGTAGGTGCATTCAAAAAACAAGTGATCCCGAGTCTCCATCAGATCACCACAAAGAACACAAGCAGAGTTGACATTTGTATTCCATTTTGCCATTCTGTCTCCGGTCGTTAATCGGTTTTTTGTCACTAGCCATACAACAACAAAGGAATATTTGGGAGTTGCAGAGGAGAACCAAATGCTAAAATAGGGGTCCCATTTTGCATTTGGTATTCTCATGTTGTCCGAAGTGTTCTTTGAGCTGAATTTTTCCTTGTAGTTGTCCCTTTTTCCATGCCACAAAGGGGTATCTTCCTTGTCAAGAATGCGTCCGTTTCTCTTTGCACGTATTGCTTCTTCTACTTGTCTTAGCTGGGTATTGCAGTGTCTTCTGCGTCTTATGTTGTGCATGACTGAGCCTAGAGTAGCGTGGATATGGATCCCCAAACGATGCTTCATCTTGCTCCAAATGTCTCATATAGACAACCCATAGCACTCCATTGATCGAACCAAAAGGAAGTGCCATAACCGTTTCTCACTTCGACTCTGTATAAGTCCTTAGCTTGTTCTCTATACTTGAGAATATTTTTCCAGATCCATGATCCCATTGTCGTGGTTTCACTGACGCGCCAGAGAGAACCATGCCGAATCAAATACCGCTGAACCCAGTTTACCCATAAGGAGTCTTTTGCAGAGAGAATTCTCCATATGAGCTTCATGATGTAGACTTTATTGACCGATTTTAAGTCCTTAATCCCTAAGCCCCCTTCGTTTTTTGGAGAATAGACCTTCTTCCAAGAGACTTATGCTTTCTTCGCACTTAGATCTTTGCCAGACCAGAGACATGATGCACAGATTCTATCAATCTCCTTGATGTAGGATTTTGGTAAGCGAAAGGCCATCATCCAGAAGTTTGTTAGACTGAAGATTATAGAGTTCAGGAGTTGTAATCGGCCCCCAAAGGATAAAGGTTGAAATGTCCAGGATCCAATCTTGTTTTAATCTTCTCAAGCAATGGTAAGTAGTCAGCTTTGGTCATTCTCCGAGACAATAGAGGCAGCCCTAAGTACCGAACTGGTAAGTTCCCATAAGCAAAAGGAAATTTCCAAAGAATATCCTCACGATCATCCTCTATAATCCCTACCATATACAAAGTAGATTTCTCTATACTGATATATAAACCAGAATGTATTGCAAAGTCCTCAAGTACCTCAAGAGCTCCCTCTATGGATCTTTTGTTTCCTTCTACAAAGATCATTAAGTCATCTGCAAAACAAAGATGTGTCAGAGACATGTCTTTGCACATAGGATGATAGCCGATTTTGTTTTCCGCAGCTGCCTTATTAAGCTTTTGCGACAAGATGTTCATACAGACCACAAACAGATATGGAGATAAAGCACAGCCTTGTCTTAATCCCTGTGAACTTCCAAAATACCCAGCTAATTCACCATTGATTTGCACTAAAAAGGACGCAAATGATATACACAGCCGAATCCAATGGATATACTCATTTGGGAAACTCATTGCTTTCAAAGTGTTCAGCAAAAACTGCCACTGCACTGAATCAAAAGCTTTGGCTATATCAATCTTCATTGCACATCTAGCTGAGAGATTTTCTTTGTGGTAATCTTTGACTAATTCAGTGGCTAGAAGAACATTTTCCATAAGCAATCTATTTTTGACAAAGGCCGACTGATTTGGTAAGATGACCTTGGAAGAATGATCTTTAGCCTATTAGCCAGGATTTTGGAAATAATTTTGTAGAGGACATTACAGCAGGAGATGGGTCTGTAGTCTCTCATGGTTGTAGCTTCTTTCTTTTTTGGAATCATTGCCAAAATAGTTGAGTTCACTCCTTTGGGTATGAACCCCAGTTTAAAGAGATATTGGACTGCAATAGTTAAGTCTTGTCCAAGTATCGACCATGTTTCTTTGAAGAACTCTATAGTGTAACCATCAGGACCTGGTGTTTTTTTCTTTTGGCATTGAGAAGAGAACACGCCTGATCTCTTCCTCACTAACCACATGAGTAAGAAGCTCCTTATCAGCATCAGTGCATAGGTAATCTGTAATGTCCTGCAGTTCTTCAACGTATAATGTAAATCCCGTAGCGGATCAATTCCAACGAGAAAAGCATATTGGCTAGTGATTGTGATCAAGAAACCACCGGTTTCGCTTGGTGGGCCGGGAATGCCCGACTTATCAATTTATCTGGTAAACTATTGGGAGCTCATGTAGCCCATGCCGGATTAATCGTCTTCTGGGCCGGAGCAATGAACTTAGTCCAACTAGAAGATCCCTCTGGTTGTTCATTTAGAAAACCATTGAAATATCTAATCGCTTCCTCTTTTATGTCCTCTGCACTTGTTTTAATAGATCCGTCAGAACCTTGAATTTCTCCAATATTGTTCCTCAGTGCTCAGGCTTTGATTGCACTGAAAAACACTCGGATTTTTGGTTATCTTGTAATTAAGAAATCAAAAGCTTAGATGCTAAGAGGTTTGTCTATGAGGTTCTTGGATCGTGTATAAATCATTGAAAGTATGAGCATAGTTAGACAAGTCAAAGTATGTCTTGAGCTTGTCGTCATAGATGGTATTACAAGAAACCTGTAAGTGCATTTAAAAGATTGGCTAGTAATACATTATTTGTAGTAAAATCTCTATTGTATACTGTGTTCCAGTTATTGTTGGGATAGCTTTTACGCTTTCACTATTTTAACCCTTTTTCTGGGACTCTCCTGCCATCTCTTTTTAACCAACATTTATTCTCAATCCAAAATTATCTCTAAATCTTAGTATATGCGGATTCATTATTTTCTTTAATATCCGAAGTCACTTAAACCATTTTTTCTCTTTATCTTCCTATTCTTTTTGCTTTTCGATGAGTCAACAAATGTTATTTCTTGTTTGGTTACTAAATTTAGGTGTTGATTGGTTCACCCGCTATCACCCGCAAATGCTGCAAACGCTGCGTTTACGGGTGATGGCGGTTAATAGCGTTTTATCACAATCATAAAAATCGCTGCAAACCGCTCCGTATCGTTTTATACCGCTGAAATCCAAAAGCTGCTTCCCGCCAACGTTTGCGGTTGCGGGCGGTAGCGGTTGGATAAAAAAAATAAAAAAAATAAAATCATACTAGAAAAAAAAGATCATGTTAAAAACAATTATAAAACCCTAACCCTACTAATCTTCTTATATATATATAAACTCTAATCTCTCACTTTTTCTATCAAGTTTTAGTCTCTAATCATGGCTTTCATATCAGTTGAAGAAAATTAAGATATAAACATAAGTGTCATAATACTTTAGTTTAATTTATTTATATTAATTATTTTATTTCCACTTTTAAATTTAAAGTAAGAAATTATAAATATGTATCTTATTAATTATAAAATTAGTTTGTTATAATTCTTTTTTTTTGTTCTTCAGAAAATTACATGATCAAACGAGATGACATGTGCGTTAATTCAACGGATCATTGTGGAAAAACAAAATTAAGATAAATATCCTAGATTTTTGAGTGCACTCCAGAAAGAACGTATTTTGAAGAATACTAATGAGCAATTTGAAGTTGATTTGAGTTGGGATCGTGTAAAAAATTGATTAGATCAATTGAAGAAATTTTACATCATGCATTAGACAAATTCAGAAGATCCACGTATTGGAGCAACCCAATAATTGAAATAAAACATATTATTATAAAATTTCTTAATTTTTAAAATAATTATTTAGTATTGAGTTATAATTTATTAATTATTTTAAACTATTGATTTTGATATTAATCATAATAATATAGTTTTCTGTTTTTTTTATAATTATATATGATGTTTATTTTGGTAATTTTATATTTAACCGCTAAAACAATCGCTGGTTTGCCAGTCAAAATTGTCCCGCAAACAAATCCGCTTTAAAAAATTTAACCAGTCGTGCAAACCGCTGAATAACGCTCAAAACCGCAATCGTCCGCTTCCGCAAACTTTTGCACTCGCAACCGCAACCGCTGCGTTTAAACCAGTCAAACCCTTAGTGTCAGAGAGTCCTCCAAATACACTCTTCCATCGTGTTTTATAAATTTGGACATGTTTGTTGAAGAATTGAGTCCTAAGGGACAAAAAATCTCGGAAACAATAACCAATCATACCCTAATATGAATGTGTCATATTCATCTAATATACCACCAATTGACACTATTACGAACGGGATAATTAGAAATGAAACTTACCAAAAGATCTAGAAGAATTGTAAGAAATAGTAAGCGACATTTGTATGGTCAAAACTTAAAAAGAAAAAAAAAACAATTGGGAAAAGTTGCAGAAATTTCATTTAAATAAATGTTAGTTGGTAGAAAATGCAGTGTACGAGTGAGTCAATCTTCTAGAACACTTGCTAAATTATTAAACAAATTATGTCATCCCTTAATGAACAAAAAAAACGTATGAAAGCGACTTGCCACAGTGTTGGCGAAGAAGGCGACTTGTTCATGTTCGAACAAGAGTTGACTCAATCAACCAGTTTAAGTTGACATTTCCTTGGTCCCACAATACTGCCGCTATATCCTTTAGAATATTGTGAATCCAAACCGGTTTTCAAACAAGAATTAATAGATTTTGCTAAAGTCGACTTTTCAATTTTAACTTTAGTAGTGTCTTCGATTTTAAAGATTAATAAATTATTTCAGAGATTAACTAATTTTAGAATTTGATTTTGATGTTAGTTTTTTTGGCGTTTAAATTAATGGTAATCTTTTATGTAATAAGTTACTCAACCTTGAAATAAAACAAAACTAAAAAATAGCTATGTAACCTTATATTTTTTTTTTTGACAAAAAAAGCTATGTAACCTTATATGTTGCCAGGAAAAAATTGTCTATCAATTTCTGAAAACAATTTATGTTTCTATATCGTAATATAATTATATGTTCTTTTTTAATTAAAATATATTAGATTAAAAATCTCCAAATGAGCATCGAGAGATTACAAACGGTTGGTGGACTGAACAAAAGTCCGGCAAAGGTGAGGAAATATACTAGATTAAGAAACGGACATGAAAAATACAATGAAGAGAACTAATAATTATATGTTCATTTTCCCATACTCAGATTCTCTATACTTATATGTTCATTTTATATGTTTACATGCAAGAACTAATAAAAAAGATGTCGTAAATCATATGTTCTCTCATTTCGTGATGGTTATGCAACGTTTTTTTTTAAAACGATATATCAACAAAAGATCAGAAATGAATCTTTGTTAGTTAAAAAAATTTAACACCAGTTAACATTTTATCTTTCAAAAAAAAAAGAACAAAGAAAATTAACACCAATTAACATTTTATCTTTCAAAAAAAAACTCAACTCTTTTCTATTAAAAAAAAAAATCTCTTTTTTCTTTGTTCTCATGTCAAACTTAGATTTTTTTTCTTTGCTAACGGTTAATTTGTATATACTTCTCAAATGGGGGGATATCGGTTTAGAAAGACATCTGTGTCATACGGTGACGTGACATTACATAAAACACGTATTTAAACAGATATTTAAGAAGCACAATGGACATTATTTTGGAGAGGCTGAGTAATAGTGACCCCTTATACTCTTCCCACGTCCTTTGTGTGATAATAATAAGTTTATTATCGTAGATAAAGTGTAGCACCACTTGTGTATAAGTGAGGATTTAGGCCAAATAATCATATATGGTATAATCAATGAAATTGGTTAGTAAAACTTCTCTTTTAACTGATAGGATAGTGAAACCTAGAATTACAAAAGAATCTAGAGATACAATACAAATAGTAAATAATGACGTGAAAATATGTTCTTATTTATGGAAGAAGGCAACAGAGTTGACGAACCAAACTTTGAAACATAGAGATTTTTTTATATGTTAGACGCATCTAAGCAACTAATATAAGACAGTTGTAAAGAGGAAAATTATCCTCTATCAGTGTAACCCAGTTAATGACCATAAAGACAGATTTAACGGTGGAAGATTGTGTTGATGTAATTGTTAGTTTTGCGAAAGACTTGTTACCACAAAGATAATTTGTGCCTAGCATTCTTTTGAGAGATAATTTCGCGTATTCCTTCCGCCCGCATTATAGAAATTCTCAAATCTCCTTCTCATAATATTTAATTTGTTTTCAATTTATTTTAAAGCAAGAAAAAGAGAGAAAAGCGGTGAAATATTGGCAGGTCCTTACTAAAGTTTCATATTTACTAATCTAACTACGAAGATCCACACCCAATCTATCATATAGGATTGAATCCGAAGAAATCGGGTTTAGGGTCAAAATTGTGGTAAGTCTAAGAAAAAAAAATTCAAATTTCAAAATCGTCCTCTCGTCGTCGTCTTCGCCTAGTATTCTCTGGGACAACTACGAGTGATTTGCTGATGCCTGTCTTGAATCAACACCTCGCTAAATCAGGTTCGTTCGTCTTCGTCTTCTGATTTCTAATTTCTATCTAGATTACTTTGTAGATTTCAACTCGGTTTTGTGTAGAATCCAAAATTTGATTTATATGTTCTCTATTCGGTTGGCAATTACAAAACAAGAGTCATGGATTTAGGCAACGAAACAGTGTTTAGATATGCTAGACCAGAACTGTACTCAGATTCTGAATCGCTGCAGGAGAAAATGGTAGAAGGAGTTGCCGAATCAGAGACGGGTAATAATCAGATAGTGTTGTGGATGGGAACTGAGGCTGAGGCTGAGGAGGAGGAGAACCAGCCATTGCCACCCGTGAGAATGTTCTTCGAGCCCAGTCAGTATCATAATGCAATAAAGCTGGGAACAAGATGTTATATCCACAAAGCTGTTGCGAAATTGGAGTTCCTAGACCTTGAACCCCATGAGCTGTTATGGTTTACAGAACACCCACAGTTCAAGCACTTTTGGCATATGCATAGGGCCATGCATGAGGACACAACACACAAGATGATGGGAATGTGGTTGCTTCTTCTTCGGACAGCAAACACAAATAAGAAGAGGGAAGCTTGGTTTGTAGTGAATGGCGTACCAATTCGCTATCCCCTTAGAGACCATGCCATTTTGTGTGGATTAAACTGTCTCCCGTACCCAGAGGACTATGAGAGCATAGGAAGTTCTTCGTTTAAGAATAGATATTTCCAGGAAACCGTCCCCTCCCTTGCTGCTGTTGAGAAAAAGCTAGAGTCGATGCGAGGACTAGTTAACCCTGATCGGTTGAAGATGTGTGTCGTCTACGTCTTATCCTCTATAATTAGTGGGAAAACGAAAACCAGTAAGGGAGCACCATCTGTTGAACCCTTATTCCTGAGGATTGTGGATGATCTCGAGGCTTGTAAAAGGTTTCCTTGGGGTAGGTATTCATTTAATGTAAATATGAAGGTGATTGAGCACACAATGAGGCATTTCAATGGGGTCGTCGGAACAGATGCCTGGACATTTCCAAGCTTTGTTACTCCCTTGGAGGTATGTCACATTATAAAGAATTTGTAACTATGTAATACTATGAGCGTAAGTGTAATTTGTTGGGTTTATGTGTAGTTGCTAGCCTTTGAGGCCATCCCATGTCTGAAGAATAAATACAGAGAAGATGTTAGAGGAGCAGGGAGGGATTGTCCCCGGATGTGCAGGCAGAAGTTCCAACCATTCACCGTAAAAGGTTTCCCTTTGTCGGAACTCTATGAAACACTGGGTAACACTAGGGTCATCGAGAGTATATTGCAACCATCTGAGGATGAGGTAATTATGCTTGCTGGAGTCATGGAGAGGAATGAAGAGGAAGATATCGGTGATATCGTTCCTGAAAACTGGACGAGGCATTTAGTTGAGGAAAAGAAGCCGATATTCTGGAAAGAGATATGCAAGATCGATATTGATGCCCGAGATAATAAAGAGTGGTTAAACCATCCTGCAGCAGCTAAGAATAATTTGGGGACAGAGAAGGTGGCGCCTCTTGGATTTGTGGAACAGCTTCAGAGCTTGAAGAAGAGTATGGATGCTCAGTGTCTCCGAATCAGTGCCCGAATGGATGGCTTTGATACAAGACTCTGCTCTGAAGAACAATATGTAAAAGAGACAAGAAGAGAAAGGGAAGGACCAGGAGATGAGGGAGGAGAAGTTTTTTCGAAATGATGTAGAACATGAACATGATCAAGCTGGAGAGAAACTTGAAAGTCTGGTGAAAACTGAGAAAGCGAGGAAGCAGAAACAGCCGAAGAAGAAACAGCCGAAGCAGAAGCCGAAGAAGAAGCAGAAGGAGCCGGAGCAGAAGGAGCCGGAGCAGAAGGAAGCAGAGCAGAAGGAAGTGGAGCAGAAAGAGGCAGAGCAGAAGAAGGCGGAGCAGAAGAAGGCGGAGCAGAAGGAGGCGGAGCAGAAAGAGCCGGAGCAGAAAGAGCCGGAGATGAATGAGGCGAAGCTGAAAGAGGCGGAGCAGCTTGTAGACCGATCTCCATACCTGCTTAGAAGTAAAGAGGTATTGAAGTTTGAAGAATAATATCCATTGTTTTGGTAATACTTAATATTTCGTGGTACACTATGTTGTATTACTTGGTATGTGTATGTAGAACCAGACGGTGCTGACATTGTGAATGCAGAAGTGGGTTTAGGTAAACGGAAACAAGAGCAATCGAAGCTAGGGCCAAACACAAGGCAGAGACGTTAAGTCTCCTATGACATTTGATATATGTATTTGTATTTGGATTAAACTGAATTAGGGTGTGTACTTCTATTTCTATTATTGATTTTGGATTATTGAAAACCAAATATTGGGAAAACTTTGTATTATTGGTGAAACAACATATAAATGATATAACCTAGTATTATTAGGTGTAACCATCTTAGTATTATTTGGTGTAACCACTTGTATATGTGGAATACTAGACCTAAACAGTTCAAGTTAAAATTATTAGAATAATGTTTGTACACAACATAAGGGAGTACTAAACATTACGAAATGTGCACATACGGAATCCAGAACATAAGAAAGTACAAAAAACAAAAAAACATAAGACAGAAAACATCAGACACATTCACCAGTCTCCCATATCAAGAAAAACCCTAACTACCCGGTACACATATAGGAAGAACCTTCCGCATTCTCGAGTTAAGAAGCAGTAGTCGCAGATGTTCCCTAGTTTATACTCATCATTCCACCAATTCTCCCATCGGTTAACTGTACCGCACCGACAGTGGATAAGAGTATTGAGGCGCAGTAAAGAGCGACTGTGGCCTTCATTGAATAACTCTGGCAATCCCATTGGCCAACCAAGATATACTTCTTCAACGAGGTCGTGGGTGCACTTCCTTATTGTTTCCTGGCTTAGTTTTTGAGGTACTCATCATTCTCGGGATTTTCCATAACAAGTTTCACGAACATCCCGTAGACATATACTGCACACGTGTACCCTCTATCCGCCGCTTCCTTGATCTGTAGAATCCCTCCAAAATCTTTTCGACGAAAAAAGAGTTGCATACCTCGCATGAAAATAATGTCTGGATTTCATGCATCATAGAACTCTCTGATAACATCGATGATGAGATGGACATCTTGATCCTCTGGATGACCCATATTAAAGGGATCAACTTCAGCGTAGAAAGCAGGGCCTCTGGTGCAGTCATTGAACCTATGACAAATCGAGTGAATCCGTATAAGGTCACCAATTGTGTTAGCCGACTTCGCTAAAACCTTTTCCAGTAGTTCGTCTGGTAGGGCTAGTAGGTAGGAGTACTCTGCCATGGATTTATATATGAAAGTGGTCGATGCCGAGTTTTGTGAAAGTTCTAAAACCCTTAGAGAAAATGATGGATTTTGTAATATAAAAGGAAAATCTGAGAGGAACTCTAAGAGAGAGGAGGAAGGAAAAAGTGATGGATTTGGGAAAGTAATGAAGAAGTAGAATGGATTTCGGAACTTCTTTGCGAACTTAAATAATAGAAAATGGAGGAAATAAGAGGAAGTGAGTAGTCACATCGAATAAACACGACCGTATGAGAGAGAGAAGAATATCGGAATAACTGCTACTCTCGTTAATGCGTTATTGAAAATATACAGTAAAAACTCTATCCTCTAAATTAATAACATTGGGACTCTTATATTTTAGAGAAAGTTATTAATTTATAAAGAAGAAATTAATTGAACAAAACATAAATTTGGGACCAAAGAAATTTATTAATTAATCGAGATTATTAATTTATCAAATATTAATTTATAGAGTTTCAACTTATTGATTTTTACTCATATACTTCGATATTCAAACATTATGTCTGGATTACTAAAATGTTGGCAAGTTATATATCATCAAGTTATCGTCAAATTTTCTTATTAAAATTTTAAACCAACCATAAATAATTTCTCCAAAGATAAATTATCAAATTACCATAAATATCAAGGTTCTTAGGAAAAAAAAGGAGATTACATATATGAATTGTTCAAAATAAAAAAAGGCTTCATTTGAATTTCGATTACATTCCAGACCTCTTCCTCTTTATCTTCTTCATCTCTCCCTTCGAACAGAAACGTACAAAATCTCATTTATGTTTAAAAATCATATAGCCTAAATTTGTATTCAATTTATTACTTAATCATGAGTTATGTCTACAATTAAAATTTAAAAAACCAAACAACATCAACTGAATATTTTCCAGTCATATAGATTTCAACGTATTTTAGATTTGTTATAACCAAAAAAAATGACTAATTACTTACCCATTCGGATGTGTCCATGTTTCGAATTTCTCTTTCCACGAATCCGCAATGCATGCACTTCAATCCTATCTCCAGATCCAGAATCAATTCGTGTTCCGGTTTTGTACAACGTGTGTGGGAAGGTTTATCGACTGAGATGTGTTTGTCCTTCTCCTCAAGAAAAAAAATATATATAAATTTTCACTCATGATCAGGACATATTTTATAAACCATTAAACAGAGAGAATATATTACATTTGGAAGATTTTGCTTGAATTGTTCCCACAGCTCTGCTTGCTCTGCTTGTTCCCACACCAAATCTCATGTTTAAAGGTGGAGGGTTGATGATTAGCAGACCATTCTCATCATATTTTTTTCCATCTGATTTCTCCATTTTGTTTATGTATTGTTAGAAACGATTATACTACTTGAAGAATTCTAGAAGTACAATATCTCAAGTGTCTTTTTATAGTGTGGGCAATAGTATTCAGTTTTTACGAATTTCAAGTTTTGTGGGGAAGACTACTAATATTTTTAGTGTATAGAAAATGTTCCCTGGATGATATTTGTCTACTCAGCATTTACTCACATGAGAGGATTTATTTATTGTATAGACGCGTTGCCTGGACGAAAAACGAGTGAATAAATAAATATATAATAATAACTGTCTAAAAGATAATCACGCCGCGTGTTTAATCGTTGCATTAGTGTTGGTAGTTGTACCAGTCTTACGGCTGTTAATGAGAAAGCATTAACAGCCGTAAGACTGGTACAACTACCAACACTGTATTTGATTTTTATCAATACATTAAGTAAATAAATATTTTCGGGTTTATTAGGGGAGAGAAAGATGTGACTTTTAACTGCTCTGCACGATAAGCCTGAACGGTTTTGAAGGATATTTATTATATGAGTCGCACCCTAGGGTTTTCTTTTCTCTTTCCATAAATATAACTCGCTCACTCTCTCTCACTCGAATCTATCTTCTAAATCCTCTTCTCTCTATTTAGTGCTATCGTTGCTCTCTTTATCACTTCAAAATGGCCCCTAAGGCGTGGATCATGACTCATCTGAGGGAGTTGGTGTGGTTTCCAGCGAGTGGGTTTAGTGAAGGGCCGGTGGCGGAAGACATTTACGAATGGCAAGCAATGCTGTTGGGCCCCTCTAGTAGTCCATACGAAGGGGGCATCTTCTTCATCTCCATCCGTTTCCCACCGGATTACCCCTTCAAGCCACCAATGGTGTCATGGAAGACGCCGATTCTGACCCCAACATCGACAAACCCGCGTCTTCCATCCGTTACTCGTCACCGCTACCTGGAAGGTTGGAACGACGGTGAAGGAACTCCTCCAAGCGCTCCATGACATGCTGCTTCACCCTAAGGTCGAGGAAGAGGACAACTACCTCGCAGACGTCGCACGCATGTGCGTCTTGGAACCGGAGCGGTTCAAGAAAGAGGCCCGCCTGATGACCAAGACACACGCCATGAATTAATTCATGGTGTTTTTCACAATAAAATAATGAATTTTATGTTTTACTATTTTCCGTTGTAAAATATTTTATTATATAAAAATTATGACTGTAATATATTTATTTACAAAAAAAATTATTAGTAAAATTCCTTGTGTTATTCTATCCACTATATTATCTCAGTCGATACATAAGGAATCCCTAATAAGGAATCCCTAATAAGGAAACCCTAATACTCGGTATCAATTGGTGTAACCACATGTATTTCCGAAAATTGAAATATGTAATACTCAGTATCATTTGGTGTAACCACATGTTTATCGGATAATTGAAAATTTGTAATACTCGGTATCATTTGGTGTAACCACATGTATTTCTGAAAATCGAAAATATGTAATACTCGGTATCGTTTGGTGTAACCACATGTTTATCGGATAATCGAAAATATGTAATACTCGTTATCGTTTGGTCTAACCACATATTTATCGGATAATCGAAAATATGTAATACTCGGTATCATTTGGTGTAACCACATGTAATCCCAAAAATTGAAAATATGTAATACTCAGTACTATTTGGTGTAACCACATGTTTTTTCGGAAAATTGAGTAAGTCTTGAGCACAACCATGAATCGTAACTACTTGAACAAGTAGATAGTTAAAGAAATCGAGGCCACAACAAGAACAGATAGAACAACCATGTCCTTCACTTCCTTAAATATCTTAGTTCGTCGCTTCTGTTCCAATTCCCTATCCATTTCCTTCAAAACCAAGTCACAAACCATCTCATAAAGGAGAGCATGAGACCTCCTTACCTCAACCATTTCCTCCTTCAGGTTGTTTACCGATTCCTGTAGCTGGGAAATCTCCGTCGAGTGAATCCGGTTCATGGTTCTAGTCCAACCACTCCGGCCTTGCATCTCGGTCAAATCATGCCGAACATTTGCAATCTCTTCTAGCATCGCCTCATCACACCACTTGAAGAGATGACATCTGAGATTCTACAAGACACAAACCGTATAAATATTTTTGGTACGAAATTAAAAGCAATCAACAGCTGAACTTACGTATTCCTTATTGCAAGCGAAGAATATTCTTCCCAGATCCAAAATGGTGTGGGAAGTTTTGATTATTGGTTTACAATGACAATAAAGAATCGCGGGATTCGAGAATCTTCGTACGATTCGGGTGGAGGGCTCCCGCTTGAAATCTCCGAGTCGGACGACGAGCCGAGACTTGGCATTCTTGCAAGAAATTATTATTTTGCAAAAAAACTGAGTGTTTTGTGTTTTGGTTGTGATTTGTGCGTAAACCCGGGGGGGGGGGGAAAACAAATTTGAGTTTCGTGGATAAACCCGAGAAATAATAAATAATTGTAGTGGGGTCTATTTGTTCCACCAATAACACACGTGTTAAAGTGAAAACACATGTCGTTTATTGTAAATGGGAATTTAAAATGTAGTTGTGCCTTGTTTTCCAGTTATACACATTGTCCACATAGTGCTACTTTTGGTGGATATACCGTATTCGCAGTAATACTAAAATATCAAGAATATATTCCGGTAATACGTTTCATAATTGGTTATAAAACCAAATTATCAACTTGTTCATCAAACAAAATTGGAGGAGAAGTATGATACATATTCTTTCCATCATTGATGGCCTAAACTTGACAATGTGACTATAGAAGGAGAATGACACTTAAGTGTCGGGTGTGGTGAGATTCGTATTATTTCTTTATTATTTTTAGTAGTTTAAAACACTGTTTACTAGTCCCTGATAAGTGTTAGCGTCAAAACGACCATATTTTAAAATACTGATTATTATCGTGGTCGTATTTTGCCATCTCCAAATTATGAAATCGGTTTAAATTGATCTATTGGTGGTTAAGGGTTGGTTAATTTCTTCAAAACGACGTCACCTGGAAACGGGTCTCTTTTAATCTTATTTCCTATTATTATAATAATATTCTACCTGACACATGATCACAGTTTACTACAAGAAAAACATCATTTTACAACGGCCGAAATGGTCGTTATTTTGTCGTAATAGGGCCATTATGACGGACTACCGACGATTTCGAAATCGTCGTAAAGTCATCGTCGTAATAGACAAATCGTCGTAAAATCGTCGTATAATATACAACGGTTTTGTTTCGTCGTAACGTCGAGGGAAACAAAATCGTCGTAAATGCGTCGTACAGTTTACGACGAGTTTACATCGAATTGCGTCGACTTGGTCTTCGCCTGGACCGTCGTTAAGTGGTCGTTAATTGTCGACGTAAGATCGTCGTAAAATGTACGACACATAAATCGTCGTAAATCAATCGTAAAGTATTTCTTCATGCGTCGTAAAATCGTCGTATCTCTCGGACGTATAATCGTCGTATTTATCATCGTACATTGTAGTCGTAAATTCGTCGTAATATTTACGACGAATGTACGACGGTTTTAATAAATCTATTACGACGATTATACGACGTTTAATATAATTGAAATTTTTTTAAAAAAAATTCGAATTAAAATTTAAATAAAACAAATAATTTACAATTTAAAATTTATGAAAATTTGAAATTAAAATTAATTGTAATTTACAAAAAAAACTCTACAGATCTAAATCTAAATCTAAATCGATCCCGTCGATCTCGTCACCGGCCTCCTCCCCATCGTCCTGGACGTGTTCCTTGCCGGGTCTTCGGTTTGATGCTTCCGTCGGCGCCTGATCTCCGGCTCTAGGAGGCTCAACCCCGAGAGATCGGAACATCTCCTCGTCCGTCTGCACCGGCGGTTGCGTCCTAGTGGATGACCCGACGGCAGACGATCCGACAACCCCATCAGCCCGCAGCTTGTCCAACTGCGCCATGAGTACCGGGTTGTCGGCTCCCAAGATCTCGAGGAGACCGTAGAGCTGGTCGATCCTCGTCTCGTACCGGGTCCGCATCTGATCGATCTCCTAGCGGATAACCGGATCCGGGACCCGGACGTGTCCAGTCGCCGTAGCTCTCGGGGAATCACGGATGGACCCCATCCCTAATACCTGCCCCTTTTTCTTTGGGGCAACCTACAAATATTTAAAAACATTATGGTTAGAAATATAATTTAAAACTAAAGTTACATTAATTAAATTTAGTAATTAAAATTACCTCTTCGAAGATCTGGTCCATCTCCGCCACCGTCAGCGCCGGGGTCGATTGGACCGAGCTACCTCCGGGAGACGTTTGACGCGCCTGCTGAGTCAGCTGCGTCTGTCGCTCCTCGATCGCCGCACAGGCGGCGTTGTAGATCTCCTCCGCCCGAGGATCCGTGAATTCGCCGTTACGCTTTTTATGCGTCTCGGCGAAAACCTTCGTCATCGGAGGAAGTTCTCCTCTGTTATCTTCGACCTACAAAATCAAAATGAAAAAATTAATTAGTATCAAGAAATAAGAGTTAATTATTTGAAAACAAAAAAAATTAATAATTTTAATTTACTTACCATCATAAGCCGTCTTCCGGCAAAAGGAATCTGGCCGGAAATGTGCGGGACGTTCTTCCGATTTCCCGCATCGTCAGTAGCGTTCCTGAAAAATATTTTGATTAGAATCTATTATAAGAAAAAAATAATGTAAATATTATTGAAATTAACTACGACTTACCTAGATCCGGAACACTTGGCGACCGTAGTCTGGTGGTGCGGATCCAACCAGTATTGGACAAGGCCCCGCCAGACAGTATTGGACATAGGCGCCGGCTTGGCCTTGTCGCCTTCAACCTCCCACTTCCGTTTCCAGTCGGAAACGGTGTTGTTGAGGCGGAATTTGACCTTCTCCTTGAAGGCCGTCTCCACACGTCCGTGTGCGGATGTTTCCCAATACTAGTTTTGCTAGGAAAAAAAAAAGAAGTTAGTAATTATTATAAAAAGTTAAAATTTAAAATTAAAATTAAAATTAAACGAAATGGTAAATTACTTACCGCAAAACACTTGAACCAAGTGTCAAGTGTGGCCTGATCCAGCTTCTTCCAGCTGGTATGGGGTTGTACGAAAAACCCCTTGATGATATCCGCAACGTTACGACCGACTACATTGTCGGTCGTAAACCTAGTCAAATGGAAAGAGAAAAAGTAAATTAATATCAAATATATAAGAATAAATATTAATTAATTTAAAAATATTGTAGGAAAAAAATTATGTACCAATAGGTGCCGGGGGCTCAATCCGGGTCGAGTTTGTTCATGGTCTCACGACCGGGTTGCGCCAGAAGATCCTGTACTGTAAACTGGGCATACAGTACAGGCGGGATCGAATCAACCTCAGGCTCGGCCTGTGCGGGAGCCGCTGGTTCGGCTGGTGGTGGTGGAGGCGGTGCCGGCTGCGGAACAACGACCGGTTGGGAAACCGTCCGTTGTGTTCCCGAGGACTCCGGGATGGCTGATCCGATCGCCGAGGTAGACGGGGCCGTACCGTCAGAATTGACGAGCTGTCGGTAGTGAAATCTCTTAGCCCGAGGAGCCATCGAGATAGAATCTACAAAATTTTAAAAAACTTGTTATTAATTTTTCAAATATTTATTAAAATTTACAAAATCCGGGTCTATCTAAATTCCGAAACCTAAATCTAAATTCCGAACCTAAATCTAAATTCCGAACCTAAATCTAAAATAATATGTAATGAAATTAATTTAAAAAAAAACTTACAACTTTTGGCTGTGAGAGTAAGGAGAGAGGGAGTGGTTTAGGGATCAGAGAGAGAAAGTATTGTAGTGAGAGAGGGGAGAAGAGAGGAATGAGCGACGAAAGGGGGAAATCTCGCGTCCCTTATATAGATTTTGTGATCGTCGTAAAATTGTCGTAACTTTACGACGGTTTTACGACGATTTGGTTGTAGAACAGTCGGTCCACTGCAGGACATGACACGT